AAGAAAAGGATGAAGAAAATGTTAACAATCCAGGTTAAACTTAAAAGGTTTTTGGGGAGCTGGTTGTTAAATATATATCAGCATGCCCATGGTCTCCACCCTGAAGAAATCACAGATACTTGAAATACTGAAGTAATCTCCCAGTGAGATTAACAATATGTGACTGAACCACAAAAGAATCAACATTGCAGGGTAATATAAAGCTACACACCAGTGACTGTGTAGTATAATGGTTTAGACCAGGGCTTCTTAAACTTTTTCCACTCATGACCCCTTTCTACATTTTGGCAGCATTCCTGTTCTGTGGCCTGAGGGCATGCACAATGCAAAGTACACGTGCTGCGTGTTCAGAACCAAGGTTGCAGTGAAGTTGCTTGATGCAATCTGGGCAAGTGAGGCCAGAAAAACCTTGGATTCGTTATGGATTTGATTTTTAATTAATTTTTGGTTGTGGCACATTCAGAAACCTTTTCTTATTGCCAAATTTTTTGCAACTCCGTATGGGGTTGTGACCCACAGTTTAAGAAGTGCTCATTAGACTAAGAGTCAAGGGTAAACTGGGTTCAGATTCTGCCCCAGATATTTTGAGACCATGGACAATCAATAACCTCTCTGAATTTGTTTCTTCATCTGTACAATGAAGATAATAATATCTCTAGTATGTACCTCATAGACTGGTTGTGAGGCTCAAGTATGATGATGTTTAAGTGCTTCTGAAACTAAGAACTCTACAGAAATATATTGTTATTATAATTTTCATGAGTGTAATTAGCCTATAGCATATTGTCACTTGTGTACAAGAAGTAGCATGAAACATACACACATACACACACACATCAGGGACCCTTTCCTGATTGCTACCCTTCCCCTGGTCCCCACCCAAAATGTCAGTGCCCTTCTTCCCTAACTACCTTATATCTAACTAACTATATGTATATATTTATATGTAATGACTGTAGTAATCAGTTTATTACACAGATTAATCATTCTTGAACATACAAGCAATTGGGTCTTTAAATATACACAAGTATTTCTGTCAGATGAATTTTTACCCCTACATCCAGATAGACCTAAGCGGCTAAAAACATAAAAAAAATTAAGAGCTATTAGCTGTGTATTAACCACATACAAACCAAAAAGTATTGTGGGGAAGGAGAGTGATGGAGAAGAACTGGAAAACAAAAACACCATCACTTTATGTACTAAAAGCTTCAATCTATTTAAATGTTGATCAATTAAACCTAGACTTTAAAATACAGAGTGTGGGTGTTGTTTAATCTTGTTGGTTGAAACATTTACCTAAGATGTAGGTCCTTCAGAAATAACTATGTATATATGTGTATATCTATTTTTATTCACTTTATATTAATGCAGCATATATTTTTACATGTACTTGTCTTCCCCATTGGAATATAAGCTCTTTTTTGAGTAGAGTGTTTCATTTTTGTGCCCGTATCCTAGCATGTTGCCTGGCACGCAGTAGGCATTTAAATGCTTGCTGATCAATTGAATTAACGAGGACTTGTGGAGCTCAAATCTGCATGGTGCCTGCTTTTTCTTACACTCGCCAGTAGGTGGCAGGTAACCCACACTAAACTTGATAACTAGCAAATAAAGCTAAGGAAAAATAGCCAAGTTCCTCCTAGAAGAAAGTGTGTTTTTCTAGGCCCTTTACAGATTAGAAGAGGGGAAGAGACTCTTACAGGGAGGCCCATTGAAAGTACTCAGCATAACAGGCAACAGCCTAACAACCAGGGAGACAGAAAAACAACAAAAAATCAGATGACAGCTCCCAGTCATATGGCATTTTATAGTTTAAAAAGCACAAAAGCCCTGTAATGGAAGAAGTGAAAGGATTATTTCCATTTTACAGATGAGGAACTTGAAGTTGAGACAGGGGAAGGAATTTCTGAGGCTCACACAGCCAGCCAAGTCTTTCATTGTTTCTACCACACTATCTGGCACCTCTGTAAATTAAATGGTCTTGCATGTGCATAGTTGCAAACTTGAGAACTGTTTTAAAGCCATTTATTCAAAATTCATTTTGAAGCCATTATCACTATGAGAAATAACTTGGAATAGTGGATGAACTTGGAATCAGGAAGACCTGAATTTGAATTCTGCCTCAGATACTTCCTAGCTGTGCGAGTCAAGTAAACTTTCAGCCTCACTCTCTTTATCTGTAAAATGGGGATAATAATACTAGCACATACTTCATAGCGCTGTGAGCGTTAAATGAGTTAATATATATAAAGTTCCTTGCAAACTTTAAAACACTATATAAATTCTGTTATTATCATAATAGGATAGTGACATCTATCTCACAAGATTGTTAGGGGGATCAAATGAAATGATTTATGTAAAACACTATATAAATTTGAACTATATATATTTATGTGATAGTAACTTTTTTCTGATTCTAGGAAGGAATAACTTTTTGCCAAAGCGATCCTTCCAATACTCCACAAAAATGCTTCTTTGATGCCTCATCATGGCATAGAGGTGACCCTGAGTTCTACAAGATACATCAATAAGATCAGACTCTTGTAGGTTCTACCAACCTAGAAAGGCTTAGTTCTGATTCTAGAAGCAGATTGAACTTAGCTCAGTATGGAAGGGCTCATCACCGATAGGGCAGTCACTGGCTAATGTATTCTACAGCTATAGCAACCTATGGGACAGATAGAAACACCAATTGACCCTTGTGCCTTAGCAGCCTCTTTTATCTTCTGCAGAATGGCAAACAAGAGGGTGCTAAGAATCATACCATTTTTATATTATCTGTGAATATTAATTTAACTCTAAGGATGTGATCTTTTCCTGATGACCACATGTTAACATTCAACTAGAGAAACTGAACCATATCAACACTCACATTTTCCTTACAGATGTAATCTGAAAGACTTAAGGAAGTTATTGCTAAAAGGAAGGATGGCTCACAGGGTTCTCTTTTGAAGAAACAGATAAAAGAGCTTTTGGAATGAGTTTCATCATGCTTCCAGAGGCAACAAAAAACATCATTTCTTAGGAAGAGCAGTCATCTTGCCTTGTCATGCTCATGATTCACATAGGCAAAAACATCACCGTGAAGATAATTACAGCTTATGTGCCAATAGCCCTAGTAGAGTACAGGAGTTGAGAAACCATTGGAAGAATTCAACATGATCCTCTTAAGGAGTTAACACTTAATGAAGATCAATAAAAAGGGAATCAGGGCAAAGATACTTTGAGAAATATGGTTTGGGATAAAGAAAAAAAGAGGATCAAAATCTTTACACTACTCCCAAGTTTTACATCTATTTATCATGGCACTTTCTTTAGAAGAGAGTCAGAAGCTTCTAGACACAGGCATGCCACCAAACAAGATCACAAAAAGTAAAATTGACTATATCTTAATGGATAGAATTTTGTAAATGTACTTTGTGTACATGTTGTTTCCCTCTAGTATAAAATAAGCTTCTTGAGGTAAGTGATTATTTCATTTTTGTCGTTCTATCCATACACCTAGCAGTAAATGACATATAGTTAGAAGTTTAATAAATGCAGCTAGGTGGTGCAATGGATAGAGTACAAAGCTTGGAGTCAGGAAGACTTACTCATGTTCCTAAATTAAAATCTGGCCTTCAGACACTTAGTAGATGTGTGATGCAGGGCAAATCACTTACCCCTATTTGCCTCAGTTTCCTCATCTATAAAATGGGCTAGAGAAAGAAATGGCCAACCACTCCAGTATCTTTGCCAAGAAACCCCAAATAGGGTTACGAAGTGTTAGACATGACTGAAAAGTGTCTGAATATATTAATAAATGCCCACTGAATTGAATTGAATATGCTATTTGGTAGAGAGTCCTAAAATGTTAGAGTTGGAAAATACCTGATCAATCAACCAGTTCAACTTTCTTACCTTTCAGAGGACACTATATGGCCTCAGAAATTGGAGTTAGCTTGGCATCATTCATAATAGGGATAAACAACCTATTACACAATTTAGTGCAACGAGTGACATTCATAATTATGAACCTCAGTCAACAAGAAAGTGTAACATCCTTGTGCATTCCATAAGCTGGAAGGGACTTTAGAAACAATCTAGTCTAACCCCCTCAATCTATAGATGAGGAATCTGAGTCCCAGAGGCTTTAAATGATTTAACCAAGATCACAATAACAACAAATGTTATGTTTGAGATTCCAGGCTGGGCTAGATTTGAATCAATGTTCTGTGACTCCAAAATCAGCATCTTTCCCATGGCAGCACACTACCTCCTCCCTAGTTCACATCCTTATTGCTTCTTGCTGGGACTTTTACGGTAATTTCCTAATTGGTCTCCCTCTTTCCTGTCTTGCCTTCTAAATCACCTTGATAAACTAATATAGTATCACATGATGTTTGACATCCTTGCTTAAAATGGCAGAAAGTACATGATTCTTTTTAAAAGAAAAAGTTTCTATTAATAACAGTTAAAACAAAATGAGCTTTGCTGTAATATCGATGCAATTCATGATGGGAAAATGCCACCTTCCTATTTCAAAGGGTCTCCAGGAAGCTCTGCAGAACAGCAGAGGGCTAACCCTTGCTTTCCTCTCTATCCCATTCATGTAGCTGCATAGGGTGGTGTGTCTTATCTGACTCTAAACCACCAGAATGTACTAGACTAAATTTTCTAGCCAAATGGACGCACTAGCAGCATACTGATTGGCATTTGCAACATCAATCCATTTTCCAAGAGTGACTCTGTCCCCAGCCCTTTCTCTTAATGCTTGACATTCCACTGTTAGCAATTCATTCTTTTGGCTTAATATCTTGCCCCTGTCTTTGGTGGTTCTCTCTTTCTCTTTTTCTGTCATTTTCTGTGCCCTTTTAATATGTTCTGGGCAACTTAGGTCTTATATCAGAGAGACAACAAAGAGCAGCAGATACAGATTTTAGCTCTGCCTTCGGCACTTCCCCTTCTTGATCTTCACCTTTGTCATTGGTAAAATGGGGAAGTTGGGACTAGCTGACTTCTTCCTTCTCTAATATTCCATGATTTTGTGCTGCCATGTTCAGTCCCAATGGAATAGGCCACCCTAAGGGCTGATACATATTGGGTCATTTTCTATTGCCCACCCTGGAGCAGTGGCCCGAGTCTTACCTTGTGGTGTCTCCTTTTCCTCCTGAACCTGAGTAGCTCTTTGTGCTGCCGGGACACGAAGTTGACAGCGGCATACTCCAGCAATGCTGAGAATACGAAGAGCAGACAGACTGCCATCCAGATGTCAATGGCTTTCACGTAGGAGACCTAGTGCAAGGAGATTGGGGAGAGAAACGGGGGAAGAAAGAGGAGTAGAATGTTCTATTTAGCATAATGGAAATTCCCCTCACTTTCCATTGGATGGGATGAGGTGAGGGTGGGGGTGTGTGGAATGGGATGGGGAATAGTGGGGAGAGAGAGAGACAGACAGATAGACAGACAGACAGAGAGAACCAATGGCATGGAGAAAAAAGTTGGATCAAATGGCTTTTTCTATTGGGTTATTGGATTGAGTGGAATGTTGGACCAAGCTGAGTGAAGTAACTATTGGAAGAGTGAATTGAGCAGAACACTGTGTCTAGCAAAAAGGTGAATTGAGGGGAATGATGGATTAAGCAGAATATTGGCTTGGGTAGAGTGTTGTAGCTAACAGAATATTGGAGTGAGCAGAATGTTAGATTGGAGAGGTGTTAAATCAAGTGAATTTTTTTTTTTTACTTGGTGGAATGCCAGGTCAAAGGGAATATTGGATCAAGTGGAATATTATACCTAGTAGGATGTTAGGTGGAATAGAATATTGTATTTGGTGGAATTGTGGATAGTGAAATGTTGCATTGAGTAGGAACTTTTGTGAAATAGAAGGCTGTTTGCCTTCTCTTCACTCTAAATTGGGTAGGAGATGGTGCAGAGGTTAAGAATGGTTAGCATCCCTCTGTCAATAACTCTGTGATCCAGTGACATTGACTTCCTTACTGTTCCTTGCACATGACACTCTATCTCCTGACTCCAGACATTTCCACTGTCTCTCCTCTCGGCTTGGAATTCTCTCCTCATCTTCACTTACTGGTTTCCTTGGGTTCCTTCACATCCCACCTTCTACAAGAAACTTTTCCTAGTCCTCCTTAATGCTAATGCCTTTTCTCTGAGATTATTTTTAATGTACCCTATAGATAGCTTGCTTGTATGTAGTTGGTTGCATGTTATCTCCCCTCATTAGGAGAAATATCTCCCCTCATTGAACTCCTTGAGGGAAGGGCTCTGTCCCTAGTATTTAGCATAATTTTTGGCACATAGTAGACCTTTAATAAATGCGTGTTGACTCAACTTTAAGCCAGTATCGTATGGCCAGATGGGGGAGTGGTATTTGTTTGTTTTTACCTTAGGCAAAGATGCTCGAGAGCCAGAGCTCTGGGTGGTCATGGTGAGCACTGTAGTGATGCCCAAGCCCACCCGAGCAGGTGCAGCATCCATGTTGATCCAGAAAGAGATCCAGGAGAGGATGACAATGAGCAGGCTGGGGATATACATCTGGATCAGGTAGTAGCCCATCTGTCTTTCTAGGTGGAAGCGAGCCTCTATGCAGGTGAATTTGCCTGAAAGCAATTGTAGTGAGAGAGTGATTGTTTATCTAAGTAGGAGTCTTCTAATGGTAAGACCCCTGGTCTAGGGGGTCAGTAGACCTACATTCTAGTTCAGGCTTTACCACTGACTAATTATATGATCTTGGACTCTTTTGGCATTTACATTCAAGAATTCTACATATAACTTCCTCATTTATCATTGATACATACATGTGTATGTATTTATATTAAAATATAGATATGATTTTATGCATATATATTTTATACATATAAGGCATCTAGGTGGTACAGTGGATAGAGTGGATAGAGTCCTGGGTCTTCAGTCAGGAAGACTTATCTTCCTGAGTTCAAATCTGGCCTCAGACACTATGTGACCCTGGGTAAGTCACTTAGCCCTGTTTGGCTTAGTTTTCTTATCTGTAAAATAAGCTGGAGAAGGAAATGGCAAACCACTCCAGTGTCTTTGCCAAGAAAATCCCACATGGAGTCATGAAGAGTTGGACACAACTAAAACGACTAAACAACAACAAAATATGTATGTATGTGTACATATATACATATATGTATGCTTTTAAAATACTTAGTGTGTATCCTTAGGTAGGTGAAATACAACCCCATGAAATCTTGCCTCTTGGTAATCTACTCAGCATAGCATATTCTCATACATCCTACAGAGGGCAGCATTAGTTGGATCTTGAGAATTTTTCTTTGCTCTGAGAATGTTGGCTGAATGAATGGGGTTTTACTCTCCTTGGTTTTAGGATAATGCATTCTCAGTTCTTTGTAAGGAACTTCCTAGTGCATCGGGAAAGAGCTGTGTGTGAGGCTATGCTTCGGGCTTCTTGAAAGATGTTGGTGGTTTACCCGACTCTTCTAGTCTAGATAAACCTTCTAGGCGCAATCTAACAGCAGGGAACTTGCTGCCTCTCTGAGGGCCTGAAAGGCACCCTGTGTGGTTTCTTTGAAAGTATCACTGGCAGAAGCCTTTCATGTTCAACTTTTACTATCCAAGCACACACGCCCATTATTTATGTGTTGTGGCCTTGTATCCTCAACAGGAGACTGAACTAATGACTTCTCCGGTCCTTTCCAGTTCTTAAATTCTACAATCCCTGACAGGGAGCAAGGGAAAGAAAGATAGTATTATTACTGGAGGAGTAAAACAAGATACAGAGCAGCAAATAAACTTGCTTAAGTTCACATAGGTAGATTTTTGTATTCTCTCTGCTAAGTTTAGAGTTGGGCACATGGTACATAGTCAATATAACCTTGTTGAATGAGGGGAGTAAGGACTGAAAGCATGAGCTCTGGGGCTCTTCAGGAATCTGGCTTACCTGTGTTATAATGTTTGGTGCAGTATCGCAAATCCTTTTCTTCTTTCAGGATAAACTGGGGCAGGGTTAAGTCATCTGCCACCTGCACGGCCCCTTGCTCTTGCCACTGGAAGATGAGGTCATTCATGGTATAGCCAACTGTGGTCAGATAGGAGAAGGTGGAATTACTTTTGGGGGAGCACTAGGCTAAAGCCATCCAGGGTTGGGGAAAACACCCCAAGACTGAATCAGGATCCAAAAAAATTGGGACAGGCTAGGAACATTGGCTAAATCTAATCAGATGACATTTAATAGGACTGAATGTTAAAGGCTTCACTTGTATTCAAGTGTAAGGGGCAGGCTGAGAAGATGTGTGGAAACAGCAGTGCATATGAAAAAAAAAGATTCATGTTGGGGTTCTAGTGGCTTCAAGCTCATCAATAAGGGTCACTTGCATATCCTGGTGGCCAAAAAAGCTAATGTGATTTTAGGCTGCATTTATAAAGTCATAATATCCAGAATGAGGGAAATGATAGTTCTACTGTCCTCTGCTCTGGTCAGTCACAGTAGTTTTTCCATCTTTGCTCAGTTGTCTGTCCAAGATCTGAATTACTGGAATATTGTGTCCACTTCTAGGTATGCCATTTTAGAGAGGACACCCATAAGAGGGTGACCAAGAAAGAGCATGTAGTGACCACATTCTACTAGTACTAGGACAAGGACTAGTAATCATGACATATGAGGGACACTTCTAGGGACTGGGGATTTTTAGACTGGAAAAGAGAAGACTTAGGAAGAACGTGGTCATTGCCTTCATGTATTTGAAGGGCTACCACGTGGGAGACTGGTTTGGTGTGGCCCTAGAGGGGAAAACTGGGAGCAATGACTGGAAGTTGCAGTGAGACTCATTATAACCAAATAAAGCTCCATAATAATAAGGGCTATCTGAAAGTGGAATGAGCTGCCTCAGGAGATGAGTTCTCCATTACTGGAGGTCTTCAGGTAGAAACTGAATGTTGGGGATGTTTCTGGGAGAATTCTTGTTCAGGGATTGGATTAGATTCCCTTAATTACCTTCTAGCTCTGAAAGCCCGTGACCCTGATGACAATTCTCTAGTTTAAGTTTCAGGGATGTAGAAACCACAAAATATTTTCATGAAAAATAATCTCTATGATTTCTACTCTTGGTTTAGTCCAATCCTAAGATTTCTAGGACAGGAGTGGGTGAGAGAGGAGCAGAAGGTGAATCTCCCTTATACCTCTCTCCCACCATGATTTTGGGTTAAGTCTGAGTTGTCTTTGGGGTCTCATGGCATCCCCAGAGCTTCTGTGGAGTGGGGCAAGTGAAATAGAATGAAAGGACACAGGCTTAGGGGGCTTACAGCTCTCCAGTTGCATAATGCATGTCTGGACATCCATGGGAAAATTCTTCAAATCCATGGGGCAGGCCAGAGTCAGAGTAATCCTGAGGACAGAAGGAAACAGAAATAATTGTTGGATTAGCTATGCTAATGAGACACTTGGTGCCTCAGAGAAACTAGGCAGAGGACCTCATAGAAACCAGATAGGGACCTAAAGAACTTGGTCAAGTCCTCAGATCTCTTGCATCTCACTTCAGTTTAGTTCACTGTTCTTCTTATTTTTACATATTAGTGACTTTCATTTTTTCAAAAATAGATTTTTATTTATATCTTTTGCTTTTATATCACTTATATTTCCAATACAATCCCCTTTGACCCTCTTAGAGAGTTATTCCTTATAATAAAGAATAAAAAAGATGGGGAAGCTAATAACTATATCCAAAAAGTCTGACCATACATATACCATTCCACACCCATAGTGCCCCACGTCTGCAAAGAAGGTGGTGGAGATGTCATCTTATAACTCTTTGAGACAGCTAGGTGGTGCAGTGGATAGACTACTGGGCCTGGAGTCAGGAAGATCTGAATTCAAATATGGCCTCACACACTTACGATCTGTGTGAAACTAGGCAAGCTGATTAACCTCTGTTTTCCTGTTTCCTCAACTTTAAAATAGTGATAATGATAGCGCTACTTCCCAGGGTTGTTGTGAGCATTAAATGAGATAATATTTTAACACAGTGCCTGGCACATAGTAGTTACTTAATAAATGCTTATCTCCTTCCATTCCTTTCTTCCGTTGGGGACAAACTTGGCCATTACAATTTATCAGCATTTCCTTTTATTTGTTGTTTTTTCTATTTACATTTTCGTAGTCAGTGTATATTGTTTTCCTGGTTCTGTTTACTTCACTTTTCATCAGTTTGTATAAGTCTTTTCATACTTCTCTATATTTTTTATGTTTGTTTCTCACAGCATAGTAATATTCCATTATATTCATGTACTACAAGTTGATTACTCATTCCCCAATTGGTGATTATCTACTTTTGTTTCCAGCTTTGCTACCACAAAAAGTTCTGCTCTAAATATTTTGGTGTATTGGAGCCTTTCTTTGTGTCTTTTGACCTCCTTGGGGTATATGTCTTGCAGAGGATTTTCTGGCTCAAAGAATATGGACATTTTAGTCACTTTCTTCACCTATTCCAAATTGCTTTGTAGAATAGCTGGATCAATTCACAGCTCCTCTGACAGTGCATTACTGTGAATGGCCTTCATTTTAAAAAGTAGCTTTTAAGTTATGCCTCTAACACATTGTGTGACAATGGTCAAGACCCTTCCCTTTGCTGGGCTTCAGTTTTCTTCTGGTAAAATGAGGAAGTTGGATGAGATGGTCTACAACATTCGTTGCAGCTCTGGGATTTTGTATTGCATTTTAAGGTCACCTCCAGCTTTAACATTCTATGTTCCATGTTCACGTTTCTTTTTAGTCTTGAGAACCTATGGTCCTCTGTAAAATGGGGATATCTCACATGGTTGTTGTGTAGATAAATTGAGTTAATTCACAGAGTGTTTTGTGCCCTTTAAAAGGCTATATGAATACAGGTTGTTTATATTAGAACAATTATTTTCTTATCTTTATCTAAACTTCTTCTGTTATCTTTTGGGTAAAGCTTTCAAGATGATGCAGGCAGAAGCACCTCTTCTCTCAGCTTATTATATATGTGGTGAGACTATAAAGAATCCTCTCAGCTAGAAACAATTGGAAATTCAAGTAAGGTAGCAACACATTGTAATGGATAGAACCCTGGAGCAGAATCAGAATACTTGGCTTTGATTTTGGACTCTGACTTCCTATCTATGAGACATCAGACAAATCATTTCCCATCTTTGAGTCTCAGTTTTCTTGTCTACAAAACGGGCATAATAATATTTGCACTTACCATCCTTACAGGGTAATAACCCTGTGAGGAAAATGCTTTGCAAATTTGAAAGTAATGTATGCATTTTAGCTATGTTGAGAATCTAGCTCTCTCACCAAGTAACTGCATGGTCTTGGGGCAAGATCTTAACTCCTAACTCCCTTAATCTTCTTCTCCATAAATGAAAGATTTGAACAGGAGGATTTCTGAGATCTCTTTTCTAACTCTAAGAGTTCTTCCAGCTCTGACATTTAACTTTTTATGTTTTAATGTCCTTCCAGTTCCGATATTCTGTTTTATATGTTCTTTCCAGCTTTGACATTCTCTGTCCTAAGATTTATTTTTGTGGGGTGGCTGGGTTATTGGCTGCATCAAACAGAGAAGGAATATCTGGGGACATAATTCTCATCTGGTAGCCAGGACAGGAATAGTGTTTGTCGGTCCTGTTCATTCCCTCCGCATCTGGATACTTCGCATTTGAAACTCCAGGGAATCGTAAGTGAGAGGGAGAAGAGAGGAGGGGGTTGTCAACCTCATGTCCCCTGAGGATAAGTCCAGCTGGGGAGCTCTGAGCATCTGGAGGCCCCTGACAGCTGGGGCAGGTGTTGTTCCTTCTCCCTCCTTTCATTCCCATCCCAACCTGTCAATAACTTCCCAAAAAGAGCATTTGACTTGCCCCAGATTTGCAAGCAGAGTTGATAACAGAGTGTGGTTACGGAGTAAGTGTGTTGGATTATGTGTATGTGTGCTCTACCTATTTTGGCGTCTTGAGTCGGCTCAACTCAAATAGCATTTTCTACATGAAGCCTTTCCTACTCTCTCTCTTCTCCAACTAGTACCTCCCTGCCAAAATGACCTCGTATTGATTCTTTATATAATCTGAATACTTCATATGCACATGCTATTTCTCCCTGCTATAATGAAAGCTCCTTGAGGGTGGAAACTATTTTATTTCTATATCTATCTTTGTAGCCTCAACACTTAGCACAGTGCTTGACACATAATAGGTGCTTAATAAATATTTATTGATTGATTGAAATATATGCATGTGCACACATACAGCACGCAATACATACATACTATCCTAAGTGCTCTTCAAAACAATAGTCATTTTGGCAGCTGGTCTAAGGAGACTCTACCATCTTCATGTAAAGGAGGGGGTGGCCTGTTGCCAAAACGCTTGAGTTAAACAAGATGAGAACAGGGCCTAGTGTTCACCCCTACTTTACCTTACCTCTCCTCATCTAGCAATGGTGCTGGGCCTGTTGAAATAATACTATTCGAAGGTTGGGAAGGGGATTGAGTGATAGGGTGGGAGATATGGAGAGAAAAGTGTCCTGTCTCAGTCCTGAGCATCAGAACTCCAAAGTGGAGCAGCTGTCAGAACAGGTTAGTGTACTGCTTCTGGACAGCCTTCCCCGTCTCCCTGACCCTCTCTTTTTAACCTGCTGTGCTTGGGATTTGGCCTTCAAGGGAACGTGCAACAAGAAAGTCCTGAGTGGACACCAGTGGGTCTGGATAGGTTGGGGGGTGGCGAAGATCTTCCTGGCTGGTTGCATTTAGTTTTATCCACCCTTGGGGACCCTATGTGAGTTTACCAAATCTCAGGAAAATGTGAGGTCAGTGAAGTTAATCTTCTCTCTGTGCCCTTTCCTTGTTCTCCTAGGTTTCTTTCAAGAGCTCTGGATTTAGAGTTGGGGACTTGAGTTCAAGTCCCAATTTTTCTACTTACTATTTATGTGTTACTACATGTGTGACCATTGCTTTTCTCATGCCTCAGTTTCCTCATCTATAAAATAATAATAGCTAACATTTGTATGGGCAGCAAGGTGGCACAGTGGTTAAGAGTGCCGGGCCTGGAGTTAGGAAGGTTCATCTTCCTGAGTTCAAATTTGGCCTCAGATACTTACTAGCTGGGTGACTCTAGGCAAGTCACTTAACCCCATTTGCTTCAGTTTCTTCATCTGTAAAATGAGCTGGAGAAGGAAATGGCAAACCATTCCAGTATCTTTGCCAAAAAAAACCAAACCCAAATGGGGTCATGAAGGGTCAGACATGACTGAACAAGAAAAAGCTCATTTATAGGGTGCTTTAAGATTTGCAACATACTCTTTACGTATGTTATCCTATTTGCTTTTATGAGGTAGGTATCATCATCATCATCATCATTCCTATCTTTCAGATGAGGAAGTTGAGAGAGACAAGTGACTTATCCAAGATCATAGCTAGTAAGTGTCTGAGGCAGGATTTGAACTCAGATCTTCCCAACTTCAGGTCCAATACTTTATCCACTGCACCACTTAGCTGCTGTGGCTGGTGGTTTAAACCAGATAGTCTCTAAGATTCTTTCCAGCTCTAAATCCTATAGTACATAAGTGGTAGTTGCTAGAGTTGGGATTTAAATCCCGGTCTTTGGAGTCCAAATCCCCAACTTTCCCCTATTCCACACTAAGTCACACAGTCAGTAAATGACAAAATCAGCCCTCAAATCCATTTCTATTTATTCTAAGTCCAGTGTTCTTTCTGTTAAGCCATGTATGTGGCCTCCAGCCTGAACTTTTATCCTGATTTCTCTAACCCATGCACAAGGGTACCATACCACATCACAGGATCACTGGATCCCCAAGCCCCTCCTTACTGATCCTGGTTCTTATCTGATGAAATGCACACATTGTACTACTCCCCTGGTCCTATGCAATGAATATGTGGTAGCCTTTATGTCAATGTGGACCCCAGAGTCTGAGGTGTAATGATAAGAGAAATGAGGAGCTCTCCCTACAGCTCGAATAAATAAACCTGTTTCCTTCCCTCCCTGAAGAGAAGCTTTATTGCTGACAGCTCCTCTTGTGAGAGAAGCCACAAAGTGGCTGTAACAGCCCTGTCTCTTTTCCCTAAACCATCCTTCACAAATTACAGGAATCATCTTCCTAAGGTACAACTATGAGTGAGATATTCAGAACTCTTTTATGGACCTTCATTGGCCATAGGGAAAATTGGAAATTCCTGAGCTTTGCATTCAATGCCCTTTGTAATTTCGCCCCAATATAGCATTACAAGCTTTTCTCTTTAGGAGAATGACTTTTTTTAGGAGACTGAGGAGGAATTATGAGATGGAAAAAATAATATTGATAGCTGGCATTTATTCAGCACTTTAAAGTTTACAAAGTGGTTTACAAATATTATTTCATTTTATCTTCATAACAATCCTGAGAGGTAGGTGCTGTTATTATTCTCATTTTACATATGAGATTGAGACAGATAAAATGACTTGCCCAAGGTCACACAGCTAGTAAGTATCTGAGGGAGGATTTGAATTCAGATCTTCCTGACTCCAAGTTTAACTCTCTGTCCACTGAGCCATCTAGTTGCCTGCAGAACCTTTGGTTGTCAGTGTTACCATAGCATCACTCACTATTCATGCGAACATGGGTAAGTCCTTTCTATGAACAAAGCTTATCATTTTTCCTCTGAACCTGTCCCCTTTTCCAGCTTCCTTTTTTCTATTGATGTTCCCATAATTCTACCTTTGCTCAGTTATCTGCCATCTTGGATTTAGCTCCTGTAGGTGATGGGAAGTCAGTTATTCTTATGAGGGAACCTGGTTGGGGTGGGGAGGGTGTCCCTGGCACCTCACCTGATACTGTAGAGAACATTGCCATTCCTGGAGATGCGCAGGAGCTTGTTATCGGTGGTGATCTCATGGAAATGGGCTCCTTTCTCATTGGCAAAGAACAAGTCTGGCTTCCAGATGGAGTCCAACATGGATGGGTCCAGGTCTAGGGAATCATCAGGATACTCGTTGTAGGCCAATCGAGGGTCATTCCACTGCTGACGCAAAAAGATGTTGACTCTATAATCCTACAAAGGAGGAGAAGAAAACGAGAACCTGGTGAATTGTCATCCCCTACAAAAATGTCTGGCACCTCAGATCAGTGCCCTGAGACAGAGTTATTTTCGTCCATAGTCACTATTTCTTTTGCTTCCCATAATTTCCCTACTTTCTAGTCATAGAATTGAATATCTGAGCTGGAATAGACCTTAGAATATAGAATGTTAGAGCTAGAAGGGGCCTTAGAATACAGAACATAGAATGTCATAGTTGGAAGGTATCTTACAGCATAGCAAATATTATATTAGATATGGATGAGACTTTAGGAATAATATAATCCTAGTCTCTTAATTTTTAGATGGGAAGAACTTGAGGCCTGGAGAAGGGATTTGTCTTACTAAAAGCTAATGTTAGAGCTGGTGCTTCAACCCAGATTTCCTGCTTCCCAGTTCCCAGTACTCTTTCCAGTATTTTATACTGCTTTGGTTATCTGGAAAATTCACAGAGAAACACAGCATTACTGTATTTTCTTTCTGACTAAGCCCTTAATAACTTTCCCTTTCCCTGGTGGTAGGTGTACAATTTTGAGGCAAAACAGAACAAAACCTCCAAACCCCTCCCTGAACCTGCTGCCTCATTGGGTAAGCCTGCAAAAATGTCAATAGCTTCATAAAATGTGCCAAGGTATTTCATAGGATTGTTCTATTATTTAATTGAAGCCTCTCCCACCAGCCCTATAGAAAATGACATTTAGTCTCATAATCTCATGTCTTATAAGTCCCCTGGTGGGGGAGAGCTGCAGAACAGGACTGCATGTTATTTTCCTGAACTTTCTTCTAATGGAAGCAGACGGTTTCTGGTCTGGCCCCATCTGACCAGCAAGTTAGAAATATTGTCTTTATCCCCCTGTGCACTTTACATGCTGCAGAATTAGGGACTGACTGGTGTCAGAAGGAAGGGAATGTAGACATTTGGTCAGTAAAAGTCTTTGGCTCCCAAAGCACAATTGTATTCCTGATGATTCTGTAGTGACCAATCAAAGTCATTCCTTTGCTTCTAGCAGAATGGGATGTGCAGAGAAAATCAGTGATGCTCTCTCCTTCCCTTCCCTCCAGGAATGTCCTGTCTTCTCACTGATGACCAAAATCCTACCCATCCTTCAAAACCCAGCTCAAATCCTCCTTCCTCTTTAGTGCTTTTCTTGACCTCTCCACCTGGAGACACCTCTCCCTCCTCAGATCACTAAGGGCTAGGTGGTTTATGGGACTCTTACTTAATGTCTCAGTGCTAAGTTAGTTTCTTCAACTATAAAATTGAGATAATACACCTATCTCCCAGAATTATTTGTGAGGATCAAATGAGATGATATGTGTAAAAGGATCTACAAACCTTGAAAAGCTATATAAATACCAGTACTTATTCTCTAGATGATTCCTGTGTCTAAACATTGTCTTGTCAACTAGATTGTAAGCAATTTTAGGGTATGGAGCACAACATTTACTTCTGTTTCCCCTGTGGTTCACCCCATAGGATGAAGCACATAGAAAGTGCTTAAGAAATACTTGTTAATTTACTGTTTAATGTGAATGAAGATATCATTACCTTTCTCTTGCTTTTTCTGCTACGTGTGTTGTTAAATTGAGTAGCATTTATAAGTAGAATAACACCATGGCATAGTGGATGGAGAATCACCCTCAGAACTTGGAAGAACCAGATTCAAACCCTACTTTTGACGCAAGCTGGTTTTGTGACTTGGTGCAAGTCAATATTTCAGTATCCTAGGCAACTCCCTAAGACTACCCACGCAGAAAAGGTGTCGGCCTGCATTGATGGAAGGAGTTTTCTCTATAGGGAGTTCCCCATGCCACTAAAATCAAGATCCAGACCCTGTTCATAACATTCTATATTCTTTGTTCTCTTCAAACACTTCATCAATACTTTGACTTGGATCCCTCCCACACCAAACTGAGGCACCAGAATAAGACCTGAAATGAAGTAATAATAATATTAGGTTACATTTATATAGCTTTTTGAAGTTTATAGAGCCTTCATTTCTCCCTTCTCCAGCTTATCCTTCAAAAACTAAGAAATTAGTCTTCTTAATGCACAGTTTTGAGTATATCACTCCCTTGGACCCATTTTCATAGGATAAAGTCCAACTTCTTTAACCTACCATTTGAGGCCTTCTACAATCTAGTTCCAACTTACTCAGACAAATTCTAAAACATACTAAAGGAATGTTTTTTATGAGCACTCAGATAGGGATGTGGGTGACCCCTGAAAGGATTTTGAGTTCACCGAGAACAGGGTGATGCTAGAACAATTTCATTTACTTATTTAAAAGGGTGACTAGATTAGTAGATCAGGGTAATGTTGCCGATATTAGTATATCTGAATTTTAATAAAGCATTTGATAAAATCTTTCATGATATCCTTATGGATAAGATGCAGAGATATGGACAAGATGGTAGTACCATTAAGTGCATTTAGAGCTGGCTAAATTACTATACCCAAAGTGTTGTGATTAATGTGTTATTGTTAACCAGGAGGGAGGTTTCTAGTAGAGTGCCACAGGATATATACTTAGCTCTGATTCAATTTTATAAATGACTTGGATCAGGACATGGATGTCATTCTTCTTAAATTTGCAAATAACATGAGGGGAAGGCTAGCTAACATAATGGATGACAATATCAGAATACATAAAAATCTTAACAGGTTAAAATGATAGCTGAACCCAATATGATGACTTTTATAGGGATAAATGTAAAATCCTATACTTAAATATATAAACTGCACAACTGTGAGGTAGCAGAGGTATGCCTAGACAGTTTGTCTGAAAAATAAATGAGGTTTTTTTACATATGAGTTAACAGTGTGATATCTTTTTTTTTTTTTTTAAAAGAGATTCAGGAAAAGACTTGAGTCTTGTAGCTGTAAAATCTTCATGAGAAAACACATTTTGATGGTATCCTTGATGAAAATATGAGATAGGAACAGGCAGGCTTTTGTGAATGATTTTTTTAGAGCAGACTACATCTTGTTACACAATTACCTGAAAAGTATAAAATCCTGCTGTCTTTGTCACTGACTATTTAAACTTATTAAAACTTAATTGACTTTGTAGGGCAGAATACATCCTGAAAGGTTTATCTCCAGCCAAGTGTCTCTCATGAACAATATCATACAAGATTCCTTGATAGATGCAAAGCTAGAGAAGGTAGAGGTAACTACGTTTGACGATCTTCTGATTATCAGTTTCAAAATGGAAGCATAGAGGTATTTGCTACTATAATGCAGGATGTTCTGCACAGAGTCCAAATGGAAGAAGGGTTCTCTATTGATAACAAGATACTCAAGATGTTTCTATTTGTGGGCAGTACTGTCTTAATTGCATCAAGACCAGTAGGGCTTTCTTAGTTAGATTCATGGTCAAAAAAGATCTAACACACAACATGGGGAAAATCAAATGGGTGAATACCTATTGATCAGACTATGGTATACAATTGAATGGGCAGCTCATTGATGGAGTCCATCAGGATTTGATACCCAGTTATACTCCCCCCAACAAACTATCATTTTCATATTCATATTCTTTTATTGATCATGGAAAATGGCAGTGTCTGAAGAATTAGACTTGTAGGTGACCCAAAGAGTAACAGAGAAATCCATGGGAGGAGTTTGCTTCAGCATATCATCAAGGATGATTTGATTACAAGAAATAGTGTAAAGGCTATCTAGGAGATGTAAGATAAGAAAAAAAGTTGGACTAATTATGTAATAAAAGTAAAGGATAATAGAAGCTGAGTACCAGTACTGCATTGGTTTCGATGGAATGTCAAGAGACTAGAGGAAGGCCTTTATGTGGAAGACTGACGGGAAGATGAGGACAAGAATTGACCAAGATAAAAAAGGCGTGGATGGGTTAAGATCTGCACTATTAGGGAGAGTACCCACATTGATGAGATCAAATACCCACTGAAACATCCCTCTGAAACAATAAAATATATCCTAGGGAACTTTTTTAGCTCTAAGGGTTTTTGATTCTGTAAATGGCTGCCACCAACTTACCCCTCCTCTGTCAGAAAAGATCAGTGTAATTGATGTAATTGGCAGGAAGCTAAATGTTGTTTTGCTTATTCAGCCATCGGCCATTGTCTGTTTTCCAACATATTGGGTCATGTTTGGGCTGTGTGCTTAGGCTCACGGAGCCTTGTAGGCTGAGGTGGATGTGGGTATTTTCCCAGTTCCCTCCCTTTTCTCTCCTCCCTCCCACTCCCTGCCCTCCTTGTCACAGGAGGCTGACCGTTCACTGCTGCACTAGCACTCTGAGGCTTCCTGCAGAGTGCCAGCTGCCAAAGCCTTTAGCAGGAAAGGAGGCTGATGGGTCAGGAGTGATGAGGCTGTACACCAGCGTCTGTCTGATGACTAGAAGCAGGAGGGGGGGAGAGGACTTAGGTTTTGGTGCCCAGGAACACAGAAATGGGACCTGAACCAGCTTGTGCTGCCCATAAGAGCAAGGGGTTTGTCTCTGATGAGGGGCTTACCAGGCCAGCCCACATTATTTCTTTTTTCTCTAATTCCTAGAATATTTAGTATCAGTATAGAATATTACCCGGCATTACAAGGGGCCTCAGAGACCATCTTTTCCAAAGCTTCCTTAATTTCACTGAGGAAAAAACCAAGGCAGATGGGAAATGGTTTGCCCAAGGTCACACAATAACTTAGGATCACAGCTGGAACAAGAACCCAGGTCGCTGGGTTCCTAACCCAATAACTACTATCTCTAAAGAGTGTTCTGGTTTACAAAGCACTGTGTCCATAACAGTCCTGTGTGGGAGGCCAAGTATTATTATGCCCAATTTACAAATGAGGAAACTGTTGTTAGAGAGGGTGAGTGATTTGCTTGAGGCCACACATCTAGTAAGTGGTAGAGAATGAACTTAAGTTTAGGTCTCCTGACTCCCAGTCCCAGGCTCATTCTACCATATTATCCTCTTTTGACTCCCCGCAACGTGATTTATCAGGC